TAACTGCTTTTATGTCCTTTTTCTGCTGATTCTAATACCTGTGTCAGTTGTTCTCTTTTGAAATTCATTGATGATCCTCCCCATTGTAGGTCATGTTTTCTTGCCAGTTTGTACGCTTAGTAATCTTTTATTGGACGTTAGATATTATCACTTGTGCTTTGTTGAATGCTGGATATTTTTGTATTCCCTATAAATGTTCTTTATATAAATCTTCTGGGATATACTTAAGTTACTTGAAAACAGTTTGATCTTTTTTGATTTTTGTCTTCTTTGTATGATTTGTTAGGCATTGCTCAGTATCTTAGTTATCTAGTGCTGCTATAACAGAAATACCATAAGTGGATGGCTTTAACAAAGAGAAATTTATTCACTCACAGTCTGGGAGGCTTGAATTCCGAATTCAGGGTGCCAGTTCCAGGGGAAGCGTTTCTCTGTCGACTGTGGGGGAAGGTCCTTGTCATCAATCTTCCCCAGTCGAGGAGCTTCTCAGCGCAGTGACCCCGGGTCCAAAGGACATGCTCTGCTCCTGGTGCTTCTTCCTTAGTAGTATGAAGTCCCTAAGTCTCTCTGCTCGCTTCTCTCTTTTATATCTCAAAAGAGATTGATTTAAGACATAACCTAATCTTGTAGATTGGATCCTGCCTCATTAACATCACCTTGTTAACATCATAGAGGTAGGATTTACAACACAGAGGAAAATCACATCAGATGACAAAATGGTGGACAGTCACACAATACTGGGAATCACGGCCTAGCCAAGCCGATACACATTCTTGGGGGACACAATTCAATCTGTAACACTCAGTCTAGGGTTAATTATTCCCCACTACGGAAGCAAGATCTTGTGTATTCTACCCAATGGCCCATGAATTACAGAATTTTCCTCTCCGACTGATAGGAACAGGTGCTATTCCAGGCTCCTTTTGAGTGCCAGGCATTGCTTCCTCTAATCCTTTTGAATGATTCTTTCCCCAAACCCAGGTAATTTCTTTACACACATAAGTATATGCTGAATACTCAAGGGGGACCTTGCAGATTTCTGAGGTCCTCTCTCCTCTCTAGTACTCTGTCCTATGAACTTTAGCTGCCTCTCCTAGACTCTCAACTCTGTTTCCTCAACTCTGGGAGTGTTCCAGGCTCTGCCTCTAATCTGTCTTCCTGACCACAGGGAAACTTTCTCAAAGCAGGAAACTGGGGCGATTGTAGGGACTCCTCTCGTTTGTCTCCCGTGTCTCGAGGATTACTGCCCTTCGTTGCCTGATGTCCAGTGTTCTGAAAACCGTTTTTCCCTATATTTTGTTGATAGTTTCATATGGGAAGTTTAATATCTGGTCCCTGTTACTTCATCTTTACTGAGGGGAAAGTCCACCATATTTTATTTTTGTAATAAATCTTTATCTGTTTTTTTTAATTTGGACTTCAGGTGCATAGTGGTGAGTAAGTTTTTAATTTTACGACACTGTGGTCCATTTTGTTATATTTATTCCCCTTAATGCCCATTTTCTATGTCGATTCCCTGAATCATAGGCAACAATTCTAATGTGATATATATTTTATATACCCGTTTATTTATATGTGAACTTGTAAAACGTATAATTTATTTTCTGAGCATTTATTTGCGATATAAATACATAATACTGTGCTGGTGAGTTTGTTGTGTCCTTTTGTCACCCAGCACCGTGTTTTCACATCTAACCGTGTTACTCTGTGCATATTTATGTCATTCAAACTGATTCTGATGCTTGTTCACCCACCGCCTTTCATTTATGAGAATTTCTCTGGGACATATTCACAGAAGCAGGATCACTAGGTCATAGGTTATATATGTGCCTATCTTGTCTCCTCTTCCTTGGTATCTCTCGTGGAAATTATTTACAACCTTAATTTTAGAATTTTATTTTAAAATATATATTAAGTTAGTCTTAGCAATATATTATATAAATTTTTTCCATCACTATTGTTTATTGTGTATACCACATCTCTTAGAATTAGTTTTTTTATTTTGCTAAATTACATCCTTTAATAATCCTTAAAAATAATGTCATTGCTCTCTTGCATTCTTACATTGTTGCTGACCTGATTCTGGTTCCTTTCTAGAGCTGTAAATTTGATTTGCAACCTGTGGTTTAAAAAGTTCAGATATGTTAATCACTCATTTTTACTTTAACCAAAATTCGTTATAAAGTTAAAGCAGGTAGTTGCTCATGACCACAAAGTACTAAGAGTAATTACTTTATTGGTTCTATTAATTGTAAAATAATAATTAAGGCCAGAGACAGTGGGTTAAAAATGAGAAGGTTTACTTTGGAAAATGATATGTGCCTCCTTAAAAAGCCAAAATTAAAAATACCATATGATCCAGCAATCCCACTCCTAGGAATATACCCTAGAGAAATAAGAGCTGTCACACGAATAGACATATGCACACCCATGTTCATTGCAGCACTGCTTACAATAGCAAAAAGATGGAAACAACCTAAATGCTGATCAACAGATGAATGGATAACCACACAGACTGTGATACATACACACAATGGAATACTATGTAATGTTAAAAAACAATGACGAATCCAGAAACATCTCACAACCTGGATGAATCTGGAGGGCATTATGCCTAGTGAAATAAGTCAGTCACAAAAGGAGAAATATTGTATGAGACCACCATTTTAAAAACTCAGAAAAAGGTTTAAACCCAGAAAAAAGCATTCTTTGATGGTTATGAGGTTGAGGAGGGAGGGGGAGGGCAAGTCACTAGGTAGTAAACAAGTGTTTATTTGGGTTAAAGGGGTAAGTCAGCACAAGTGGACCAA